ATCAATGAAACCAAGAGCTGGTTCTTTGAAAAGATAAATAAGATTGATGAACCATTAACCAGACTCATCAAGAAACAAAGAGAGAGGACTAAAATAAATAAAATCAGAAATGATGAAAGTGAAGTAACAACAGACACCACAGAAATACAAAGGATTGTAAGAAAATACAATGAACAACAACTATATGTCAACTAGCTGGAAAATCTGGATGAAATGAACAAATTCCTAGAAAAATACAATCTCCCAAAATTCAATCAGGAAGAATCAGAAAACCTGAATAGGCCAATAACAACTGATGAAATAGAAGCAGTAATAAAAAAAAAATCCCAGCAAACAAAAGCTGTGGCCCAGATGGCTTTACAAGGGAGTTTTACTAAACATTCAAAGAACTAACACTTAAACTCCTCAAACTATTCCAAAAAATCCAAGAGGAAGGAGCACTTCCAAGCTCTTTTTGTGAGGCCAGCATTATCCTAATTCCAAAACCAGATAAAGACACTGCAAAGAAAGAGAATTACAGGCCAATATCCCTGATGAACATAGATGTTAAAATCCTCAACAAAATATTAGCAAATCAGATCCAGCAATATATTGAAAAGGTCATATCATGACCAAGTGGGATTTATTCCAGGGATGCAAGGCTGGTACAATATTCACAGATCAATAAACGTGATACATCACATAAACAAATTGAAAGACAAAAATCACATGACCATATCAATAGATGCAGAAAAAGCATTTGACAAAATCCAGCACCCATTTTTTATTAAAAAAACTCTCAGCAAAGTGGGAATAGAGGGAGCTTATCTAATCATAATACTAGTAAAGGCCATATATGACAAACCTACAGCCAACATCATGCTCAATGGGCAAAAACTAAAACCATTTCCCCTAAGAACAGGGACAAGACAGGGATGCCCTCTTTTACTACTCTCATTAAACACTAGAGGCCTGGTGCATGAAATTCGTGCACAGATGCGGTCCCTAGGCCTGGGCCTGGCCAGCAATTGAAGCACGAGCATCTGGTGTGGAAGGGCAGGTCCCAGCTGAACTCTGGGCCCTGGGCAGCACCTTGGCCCCCGGGACCCCGCACGACCCCCTCCACCTGAGTCACAGCGCCCGAGTCCCCATGAGGAGATGGCAGTGAGTGCAGCTGGACGCTGTGGGCCAGGGTGCAGTGTGGGCCTCTGGGCCACCCAGCAGCGCCACACGGAAGCTGGGCAGGCAGCACACTCTCTCCCGCTGGCCTCCCAGACAGGCTTCTGCATGAACCTACGGGAAGCCCGACTGGCCCCTGTGGCCCAGCTCACCCAGAAGAGGCCATGCAGGTGTGGGGCAGGCTCCTCGAGGGCACCTGGCACCTGAACATGGTGGGGGGACGCTTCCCTGGCACATGAGTCCTGGTGTCCCAGGGGAGGGTAGCAGGGGGAGTGAAGACGAGCTTGGTAGACACTCCCCATTCTGACTGCACCTCTGTCCCTGTCACCCCTGCTCCCAGGTAGCAGGTGAGAGGTCGCAGCGCATCGCTGTGGCCCGCCATGATCCGCGCTGCCCCCTGGTGGTCAGTGCACGTCATAGCGAGTGGTCAAACTCCAGGTCTCCCAGTGCAATGACTGCCAGAGGGGACAATTTGCATATTAGGCTTTTATTATATAGGATAGTACTGGAAGTCCTAGCCACAGTTATTAGATAAGAAGAAGAAATAAAAGGCGTCTAAATTGGAAAGGAGGAAGTAAAACTCTCATTATTCACAGATAACATGATATTGTACATAGAAAACCCCAAAGACTCCATCAAAAAACTACTAGATTTAATAAATGAATTCAGCAATGTAGCAGGATACAAAATCAACACCCAAAAATTGATGGCTTTTTTATGCACCAATAATGAATTCTCAGAAAGAGAAACTAAACAAACAATCCCATTTACCATTGCAACATAAAAATTAAGATATTTAAGAATAAACTTAACAAAGGAGGCTAAAGACCTACACTTGGAAAACTACACGACATTGAAAAAAGAGATAGAACAAGATATAAACAAGTGGAAGAATATACCATGTTAATGGATTAGTAGAATCAACATCATTAAAATATCCATACTACCCAAGGCAATCTACAGACTCAATGCAATCCCTATTAAAATACATACCAACAGCATATTTCCCAGATCTAGAACAAATACTCCAAAAATTTATATGGAACCAAAAAAGACCCTGAATAGCCACAACAATCAATCTTGAGAAAGAAGAACAAAGTTGGAGGGATCACAATACCAGATATCAAGTTATACTATAAAGCCACCAAAATCAAAACAGTCTTAAACTGGCAAAGGACAGGCATATAGATCAATGCAACAGAACAGAGACCCCAGAAATCAACCCAAGCCATGATGCTCAATTAATATTTGACAAAGGAAGTAAGAACATATAATGGAGTCAAGATAGTCTCTTCAATAAATGGTTTGGGAAAATTGGACAGATACATGCAAAAAAATGAAACCAGACCACCAACTTATACCACACACAAGAATAAACTCAGAATGGGTAAAAAACTTAAATGTAAGAAACCATAGACAGAAAAATCTCAGACATCACTCATAGCAATATATTCATGGATATTTCCTTTGCCCTAGGAGGCAAAGGAAACTAAGGAGAAAATAAACAAATGAGACTACATCAAAATAAAAAGTGTCTGCACAGCAAAAGAAACAATCAACAAAACAAAAAGTGAATCCACTGTATGGGAAAAATATTTGGCAATGATAGATTTGGTAAAGAGTTAAAATCCAAAATATATGAGGAAGTCATACAAGTTAACAAAAGGAAGACATACAATTCATTTGAAAAATGGGCAAAGGACCTAAATAGACACTTCTCACAGTCGACATACAGGTCCAGATACATGAAAAAAAGCTTAAAGTCACTGATCATCAGATAGATGCAAATTAAAAGGACAATGAGGTATCACCTCACACCTGTCAGAATGGCTACCATCAACAAATCAACAAATGACAAGTGCTGGCAAGTATGGGGAGAAAAGGGAGCCCTAGTACACTGCTGGTGAGAATGCAGACTGGTGCAACCACTGTGGAAAAGAGTATGGAGTTTCCTCAAAAAATTAAAAATGGAACTGCCATTTGACCCAGTGATCTCACTTCTGGGAATATATCCTAAGAAACCCCAAACACCAATCAAAAAGAAGTTATGCAGCCCTGTGTTCATAGCAGCACAATTTACAATAGCTAAGATCTGGAAACAGCCCAAGTTCCCATCAGTAGATGAGTGGATAAAAAAGCTGTGGTACATTTACACCATGGAATAATATGCCACAGTAAAAAAGAAGGATCTATTACCCTTTGAGACAGCATGGAGGGACCTGGAGAGCATTATGCTAAGCGAAATAAGCCAGTTAGAGAAAGACAAGTATCACATGATCTAATTTATTTTTGGAATATAATGAACAACATAAACTGATGAATAAAAATAGATCCAGAGACATAGAAGCATCAAACAGACCGTCCAACCTCAGAGGGAAGGCGAGGGTGGTGGTGGTGGTAAGAGATCAACCAAAGGACTTGTATGCATGCATATAAGCATAACCCATGGACACAGGCAGTAGGGGGCTGAGGGCATGTGCTGGAGGGGGAGAGGGGACGGCCTGGGAGAGGTCAACGGGGGAAAAAGGAGACATATGTAATACTTTAAACAATAAAGAATTTAAATTTTTAAAAAAGCTGTGGTACATTTATGCTATGGAATACTATGCAGCGCTAAAAAAGAAGGATCTTTACCCTTTGAGACAGCATGGAGGGACCTGGAGAGTATCACGTTAAGTGAAACAAGCCAGTCAGAGAAAGACAAGTATCACATGATCGCACTCATATGTGGAATCTAATGAATAAAAAACAAAACAAAAAAACCCTGTTGAACAAAATAGATCCAGAGACATTGAAGCATAGAACAACATGTGGAATCTCAAAGGGAAGGCGGGGGAGGGTGGGAAGTGATCAACCAAAGAACTTGTATGTGTATATGCATAACCCATGGACACAGACAATAGGGTGGTGAAGGCCTCAGGGGAGGGGTGGGGGCAGGCTAGAAGGAGTCAATGGCGGAAAAAAGAGGGCATATGTAATACTTTCAACAATAAAGACTTTTTAAAAAAGAGTACATACGTATGATTCTTCTAATATTAAGTTTATAAAGTGCAAGCTAATCTCTAGTGACAAACAGCAGATCAGTGGTTGCCTAGGGAGGAAGTTGAAAATAGGGAAGGGAGGAATTACAAAAGGGCACAGGGAAGCTTTCGGGGTGTTGGGTATGTTTATCTTATTTGTGATGATGGTTTCACTGGTGTGCAATATGCCACAATTATTTAAATTGTACACTTTACATATTTGCAGTTTATTGTATGTCAGTTATACCTCAGTAAAACTGATAAAAATAATTCAAATGTACTTGCACATATAAAAACAAGTTCCATCACAGATGCAGCCCCACCTGTGCCCCTGCAGCACCCCTCCCCTCCTGCATCTTTGTTTCTCTACCTCTCTCTGTCTCTCCTTCCCTTTCTCTGCCTTCATCTCTGTATTATACTCCTTCTCTATTTCTTGGCTTCTCTTTGTCTCTGTGTTTCTTCCTGTTTCTGCCTCATCTTCTCATTATAACTTTTTTTTTATTGTTTTTGTAATCTGGTGTGTATTTCACATGTATTGTGCATCTTAATTGGGACCCTAAATTTTCTCCAGAAATATTTGATCTGTATTTAGATTTCATGTGGATTACAATTGAAAAAGTAGATTCACATACTCATGTTTTTCCAAATGTACTTAGAAGTTTTCCAATTACTAAACTGAGTATCAATAGAGTACCAACATGGCTAGTATTAATACTAGCTACATTTTAAGTGCTTAATAGCTACATGTGGCAAGTGGTTATTGTTAGATCTGTGTCAACAGGAGCCAGGCCAAGAGATGTTGTGAGAGTTTAAGACATTTTATTACATCTCTCACAGTGGGCTGAGACCAGTGTGTGGGTGTCAGCCTCTAGGGAGCATTTAAGTTCTCTTATATAGGGACAGGGTCAGGATTGCACCAGCCAGCTGGGGTAGCTGCCTGAATAACAGGACGTCTTTGGAAGATAGCAGGATGTCTGGTGAGCACACAACTCAGGCAGAGGGGTGTGCCCGAGTCAGCTGGGGAGTATATTTTATCTTCTGCAGGTGCAGGCTGTTTGCTTCAAGCTATGGAAACAAAACAGAAACTTATAACAATACTAGTGGCCCGGTGCACGAAATTCATGCACAGCAAAAGGGAATTAATTAGAGGAAATATTTTAATATTGCTATTTGCCCTTTCTCTATAATAGAAGTGTCAGAGATGAAAGGAAATGAGTAAAATGTATATGAAAATAATATATGAATTTATTAATAAA